CATTTCTTGTTTTCACCCATGGGGAGATTAATGTGTTATTCTTTTCTGCCTGAGAACTCTCCCCTCGCTCTCTTAAATTACTCCTCTGTTTGCTCTTCTCTGAGATTAGTAATTCTAATTCCTCTAATCTCTTGGGTAACCTTTTAGAACCACCCAGTTTCTCACAGAACAAAGTGCTCTGAGGATGCAGACCCACTGAACAGAGTAGGTCACCCCTGCTTGCTACATGTTTGCTACATGCCACATCATTCTGAGTATCACTCTGCAGTTTTCAGTGGGCCACTATCATCCTGATGATTCAAGGAGCATATGACTTCTGAATGGTTTTCTGCTGTGCATATCTAAGGCCTTCTCCACCTTACATCTTAAACCAACTACTTCATCTCTCTAACAGACATGTCTGAACCTCAGTAGGCTAGTTCTTTACCACATTTTGAAGCTGTTGCTGTTGTGTTGTGAAATGCTGGCAAGTTGGCTCCGACCCATAGTGACCCTTTGTAGGGTTTCCAATGAGCGACTGGTGAGTTTAAACTGCCGACCTTGCAGTTCAAACAGACTTTACAGTCTAGCACATTAACCCACAGCGCCACAGCAGGAAGTGAAATAACCTGAAATGCTAGGCATATTTTCCAAGGTGCTGTTTCGTTTCTCCCAAACTGCTGTCCTTGGCAGCTCTGCCCTCCTTTCCATTGCCTTAATTACAGAACCAAATTTGACATGAGGCAATAAATGGGTCCTGTCTAGGCTGGGGAGTGTAGTCTGGTCACCTTGAGATGAACCATGTCAACACTAGCTAGGGCTCTGCTAGAAGCAAAGGAAAAAGGAAAATGCTGGAGGCTACCATGGAGGAAAGCTTGGAAAGGTAAGGAAAAAAGTCATGCAGGACTTGCCCTACAAACTATTAAACATATTAAAAAGTTACAATCATTGAATTTACAGGACAAGCAAAGCAATGGAACAAGCTAGACAATCTAGAAATTTGTTGTTGTTATTAAGTGGTGCCGAGTCAGTTCTGACTCATAGTGATCTTATAGCCTTTCCAACAAGCAGCTGGTGGGTTTGAACCGCTGACCTTTTGATTAGCAATCCAGTGCTTATCCTACAGCACCATGCTAGGATTAGAAATAGACCCAAATAAATAGGTTAGAACATAGTATGTGACAAGGGTCGTATTTCAAAAGGTGATGAGAAACTGGCTCATCAGTTACAGAAAAACTGCCATGTGCACTTAGCATCAGAATCTCTGGTGCTAACGCGCTTAGGTGCTAACGCGCTTAGGTGCTAACCAAAAGATGGCTAACGCGCTTAGGTGCTAACCAAAAGATTGAAGCTTCTAGTCCAAGCAGAGACGTTGTGGAAGAAAGGGCCGGGATCTGAAAAGTTAGCCATGGTGAACAACAGCTCAACTCTGATACATGTGGGATCTGATGAGTTAGAGTCATCATTATAAAGGCAACCGTTTTGTTTTGTTTTTAAATTATTACTATTAAATCACATATCATACATCAGGACAAATTCCAAATGAGTCTCAGTTTTGGATGTAAAAATTAAAACTCTCAGAGAAGTATGCAAAGCATTAGAGAATTAGAACAGGTCTCATTTCAAGATGAGGAAGTCTTTTCTTGGCCTTCCATGACAACAGACGCAGAACTATAAAAGGAAGAGTCCATAGAATACAATTTTTAACTGCCAAAAAATATATTAAAAAGAAAACTGAAAAAACAAAACAGCAAAAAAACTGAAGATTAAATAAAATGGATAAATTTTTATAATATGTATAACAAAAGATTAGTATCACTAATGTAGATAAACTATTAAAATCAGTAAGAGAAAGGAGATGATATGTGAATGTGTTAAAATCCCTCTACCTAAAACCCACCAAAGGATCCTGGATGGCACACGCAGTTTGTGATTGACGGCTAACTTAAAGGTTGGCAGTTCAAACCCATCCAGGACTCCACAGAACAAAGCGGTGGCAATCTGCTTCCTAAAGAGTAAAGCCAAGAAAGCCCTATGGAATGTTTCTACTCTGTAACACATGAGGTCAGCATGAGATGGAAGTGATTTGAAGGCAAACCAACAACAAAACCAATAAAAAAGAACCAAAAACAGAAGAAAATTTTATCTGTACCAAAGCTAAGCAAATGTCTCAATCTTATACTATAAACTATAAGTAAACACCACAAGAAATTAATACACAACTTCACTGTCTGAGAGTCTGGCACAAAGCAACTTTTCTAAAATTTCTAAGATAAGTAGAAGGGAAAAAAATGAAGGTGCCAACCATGATGGCTCTTTTCCAACCCTCAGGCACCTTCCCAAATATATCCAAATTGATCAATAGAAATCAGTAGCAACAGAAAAAAATGATGACTTATAAATTGTCAGACATCATAAGACTAGATACTCACACATAAATCCAATCTCAAATGATGACCATTTTTGGTTGTACAAGTGGCTGGGTTTATCTTTACATTTATGCATGCATTTGCTTTCTCTTTCTCTATCTCCTCATTTCCCCTTTCTGGTTTTTTATCTCTCCCTATATGTTGTGGGTCAATGTACCAGACTGCAAAGCCGTTTGAACTGCAAGGTCAGCAGTTCAAGCTCACCAGCTGCTCCTCGGAAGCTCTATATAGGGCCGCTATGGGTCAGAATCAACTCGATGGCACTTAACAACATAAGACAAAAATCTTGCCTAGAAACTTTTAGATTTATTCTAGAAAATACTATAACCAATGTCTGAAAGCTCTTCTGGTTCTTTGGAGTCTACATCCAGGATGAATAGTTTGCTCTTCACCCTGTCCTAAAGTGGGTGTGAATGGTACGGTTATTCTGAAGAATTCAGGTCACTGAGCTAGAGAGGAGGCATGGCAAACATAAGTCAAAAACACCACACCACAGGATCTCTGATTCAACCACCCCTTTTGCCAGCACCCTTTTTCTGGCGTCCACTGAAACACATGCCTCTGTCCCTCAGCATTCCTAGAACTTTTCCTCTCCTCTGAGGTCAGCAATGGATTTAAAGCACCTGTTTTCATACTGTCCCCACCAGTCAGACTTAGTTTAACTAAGACAAGCAGAAGAGAAATTCCATTCCCTTCTTCTGGGAAATCAGCTACTACATTTTACTGAAACGAAGTCACATCTTCGGCAACCAGACATAGAGCCTCACATCACAATAGATGGGTCTCTTTTCTTCATTTTATAAAAGGGAAGTGTTTTGTTTTGTTTTTAAACTCTTTCAAAAGATCTTTAAAATATATTCATTTTTGTAAGTTGCAATTTCTTTAAAGTAGTTTAGTGATACAGTGGTATAAGTATTTGGCTGCTAACAAAAGGTTCCTAGTTCGAACCCACCAGCAGCCCCACAGGAGCTGTCTGCTGTATGTGGCTATCTGCTTCTATAAAGATTTCTGCCTTGAAAACCCTAAGGGGGCATTCTAATCTGTCCTATAGGGTGGGTCTTTATGAGTCAGAATCAACTCAATGGCAGTGGATTTGGGGGGTTTTTGGTTTGTTGATGTTGTTAAGTGCCACCAAGTTGGTTTGGACTCATAGTGACTGTGTATAGGATTTCCAAGGATTAGTCAGTGGGTTTGAACAGAAGTCCTTTGTTTATCCTGTAGTACCACACTAGGATTCTTTTTGATTGGTTGCTACTGTTGTGTGGCATCGATTTGGATGCAACTCATAGTGGCCCCATATAGGGTTTCCAAGAGCAGTTTGAACTGCCAACCTTGTGGTTACCAGTCCAGTGCTTATCCTACATCGCCAATTGGAAAATATGGAATAATGGATGGTCTCAATGAATTAAAGACCTTCACGTTCTCAGTGACCTTTAGCAGCTCAACATTGCCCCCTAGTGTCCAAAAAATAGACACAGGCAGTTTGCATTGCTTGGGATATACTAGCCTACACACAGAACCAGCATAGTATCTCATCAGAAACACCCCAACACCACCACCACTAAAAAATGTGTGTGTGTGTGTGTGTGATCCACTTATTTGGATAAGAAATGATAGTCATCCAAGGCAAAGACCAAAGAGTAAAAAAAGACTGAATAGCTATTTATTTAATAAGTCACAAGTCCAAATTGAACATTACTTATCCCTCCAACCCAAAATTTAGTGAATTATCTTTAATCTAAGGCCTTTCTTGACTAACTGTAATCTTTATAACAACAACTTGAGAAGATCAGATTTTCAGAAAGCAAGTTCTTTGAAGAAGCCAAGCAGAGTAAGAGTATAGAGAATCAAGGGGTAAAGACTGGGAGAATAATTTGAAAGGATAGTCAGGGAGGGCCTTTGACACAAGAAAGGGAAGATTATCAGGAAGCCATGTGGAAAGAGTACCCCAGGAAGAGAAAACAGTATATGGAAAGGCCCCAATGCAAACAAGCCGGTCAGGAGATTTGGGGGAACTCCTTTCTTGATTACTTCTAATTTCTCAGTGAAAGAAGAAAAAAGAGTTCTGGCTTAGAGTATGTGAGGGTGGAGGTGGAAGGAAAGGGTCACAGATTTGCGGGAAAAAAACCGTACAAATGGGTTTACTAAGGCACTATATAGGGTGACCGTGAGTCAGACTCAATTCAAAGGCAAAGGGTTTGGGGTGTTGTTTTTTTAGGTGGGACAGCCAGTCATTGCCCTCTCCTCAAAGTTAGCTAGCTACTCTTTCTTTGCAAGAGAATGCCAATTAAGCATGTGACTGAGAAACAACAAGAGGAATTTTTTTTTTTAATGCATGAAATCTTTCAAACATCCAGAAGGAATTTTGCTGACACTTCATCAATGCTAACATTTTGCTTCAGAATCTTCTTAAGAAATAAAATAGTACAGTCACAGTTGCAGGCCCCTGAGCACTCCTATCTTATTCCATTTCCTTCCTCCTCTCCCATAAAGTTCATTATACAAAGACAGAAAGAATGTTCCTCTTTATCCTAGCCTGTCAATAGCTCTGCAGTGACTTCCTTCATCCGAATGCTGTTATTCAAGATTTACCTGTTATCTGCGTTGTCAGGGAGATCACCACAGGAAGTTCAGAAGACAAAGCCAGGAGGCTGACACTGTAGTTGGTACCTGGATGCAGGTCCAAGCACATCTCAGGGGCCTGGCTGCTGGTAGTGCTATTAAAGGCCATTTCCTGGGCAAATTCCTTCTGATACCATCTCTGGCCCCAAATGTGGAACTGAAACATAAAAAAGCTCACAGGGTGAATTGCAAGCTTTGGAAGGCTCTGCATGCCCCATGCTACCATCCTCACAAGTACTGTTTCTTCTTCCCCCTCAACTTCAAAATTTCTTCAGAAAATGAAAAGCAACAGTAAGCAAATCTTAAGAGTTGTATCAACATCAATATTGTAATTATAATATTGAGGTATAACACATATATTTTTAAATCAAAATGCACAAAAGGCAGAGACCCCATTACTATCAACTGTCTCTTTCTTGCCTTCACATGTGCAGTGCTCAAGCCAAGGAGAAAAATTATTGTCAAAACTGTAGGAGCAAGGTCAAAAAATGTTTCCCAGAAAGGAAAGGGAAGATTCAGAATAAGGCTTCTCCAAAGAAGGACCTGAATAAGTATCAAAGGATACTCCTAACTTATCCGGAGCCTAATTGAAAGGAGCTCTGGTAGCACAGTGGTTATGAATTGGGCTGCAAACCGCAAGGTCAGCAGTTCGAAACTACCAGCTGCTCCACAGGAGAAAGATGAAGCTTTCTGCTCCCATAAAAGCCTCGGAATCCCTGTTCAGGGTCACTACAGGTCAGAATCGACTCCCCAGCACTTAACAACAACAACAATTGAAAGGAGCCCTGGTGAAGCAGTGGTTAAGCGCTCAGCTGCTAACCAGAAGGCTGGTGTTTAGAATCCACCAAGCAGCTCCAAGCAGCTCCATGGGAGAAACACTTGGTGATCTGCTCCCTTTAAGATTATAGCCAAGAAAGCTATCAGTCAATTGACTTGACAGCACCTAACAACAATTGACCAGGTGAAACCTGGAAGCATTTTTTTCTCCTTTGCCATTCCCTTCTGGGGTTCCAGCCAAAGTCACTTTCCGGTCACATCCCAGCACCTGGGTCAAGAGATGACTTTTTCGTCCCACTTAATTTCTTCTTACTAGAAAGAAAACTCATTCTATAGTCTTTTCTCTTTCTCACAACCATGTCCAGCTTCAGAAAACCCCCTTGACTCTCCAGGCAACATCCAGACTCTGGTCAGAGACACAGACACATATCATAAGCTATAGAATTCCTTTCACAGATGCTGCACACCAGCTCTGCACCAGGATATGTGCACAAAAGGCTCAGTGTTTTCTCTTCTCTCCTCAGTTAATCTCGGAACATTCAGGAGTAGGAGCAATTTTCTGGCTTCTTCCTGTGATTGTCATTGTAAATCTTCTATTGATAATGGTAGTTTTATAAGTCGATTTTTAGTTTTGTTGAAGTTTTTTGAACTTCCCACACAAAACCAACATCTATAAATAAATCAACTTTCAGAAACTTACCAAATACATCTCTTCTACATCAGCTGTCTTCAAACTTTTCCACCTCAAGCAGGTTTCATTAAATATTGAAATGTTAATGATGGTCTGTTTTACTGCAAGAAGGAAAAGAGTAAGAAATCATTTGATGCCCTATGCAAAACTACTACCTTTTACTTCAATTAATTTTCCAAGGATATGCATTTGCATGGGATGAGTTTAGCAGAAATTATTGGTAGCCACACCACTTGTATATTTAGTTAAACTCAGTACAGATGATAGATACACTATCAAAAGATATCCAGTCCGGGGATCCCTCTTAATCTTTCATGACCCACCTACATTTTCCTCTTCTGGGGTTTAGGAGGAAGCTGCTGCCCACTTTTGTTAGTGCAAGATAACATGGTAATGAAACAAGTCATATGAATGGTTGAATGTGAAACTGATGATGTGCCCTGTAAACTTTCACTCAAGCCACAATAAAAACCTTAAATTAAAAAAAAAAAAAAAAAAGATAACATGGACTTCATCCCACCAACCCCAGCACCAGATATCCCTCGGGCATAAATGCCCAGCTAATTTTATCAAAGTCTATAATACTTCATTTCACTTAAAATATCTTCTACTACAGAAAACAAGTGGTTTCAACAAAAAATTCAAAGCTGAAAATAATTTGGTACTGAAAGGGTTAAATAGGTCTATTCACTACAAACTCCTTTGCTTCCATACAACATTGCAACTCATTGGGAGGGCCTTAGACACCCGGATTTATATAAATCAGCACCAGTTTGAAGTTCTGAGCTGTTAACATGTCAGCAGAGAATTGTTCCTTGAGGAACTGTAAAAGGCTATCTCAAACAATCAGGTTTTTTATGATGAGAAAAGGAGGGGGGCTTCCTCTTAGTTTGGGTTTCCTTATCTTTTATCAAAAAAAACCATTTCTTGGCCTCTGCTCAGTTTCACAGTAATCAGCCCAAAAGATAGTTCAGATCTGGTGCTGTTAATGTGGGAAGCATATCCCACACCACTTACAAAAACAAACAAACAAACAAAACTCTGATATTAGAGGTAGCTTCTTTCCACAATAACTCATCACTAAACTACAAAGAATACCGCAAACTTGTCAAGATGCTTCATGGGAGCACTGTGATGATTAATTACTGATACTGGTACAATTTCCAAAGTACCTACAAAACAAAAAATGCCACACCTTTATTGTATAATCCCAAGGCTGGCAGGTTTCTGTGTCAAGTAAAGATATGAAGATAAGTTGGTAAACAGGAAACCCCTCTATGAATTCAGCAAATTTGCCCAGAGAAACTCTGTTCCATAGGTTATAAACTACACCTCCAATGTTGCAAGACAGAACAAGTAAGAAACTATAGCTGATGCAGGGTAACGTAACCTCACTACTGGGTAGAGAAGAGAGTTTTTAAAGATTAGTGCTTGTGACCCAAGGAATCTCACATCTATGAAACCCCTAAAAACAAATTACTCCATTACTATTTAGCTATTCCAAGCCACACAAAAAGGTGGGAAGTTTCTGAGCTCATAATTCAACATAATTAGATAATCCACAAGGCTCAAACTATCCAAAGATGGCACAACAAATCATTAAGCTCACTATGCCAGTTGTGCTCATTTATATGAACACAAAAGGAGCTCTGGTAGCGTAGTGGTTACGAATTGGGCTGCTAACCTCAAGGTTGTCAGTTTGAAACTACCAGCAGTTCCGCGGGAGAAAGATGAGGCTTTCTGCTCCTGTAAAGATTTACCAGTCGGTTCCAACTCATAGTTTAGCTTAACTAGGAAAAATGGTCTGCCTTGGCGCTGTGGGTTAATGCGCCAGACTTGCAAAGCCGTTTGAACTGCAAGGTTGGCGGTTCAAGCTCACCATCTGTTCCTTGGAAACCCTATACAGGGTCACTATGGGTCGGAACCAACTTGACGGCACTTAACAACAACAACAAGCGCTATGTACTATAGTAATGCTCGGGCAGACCATCAGCTCAGCTCAACAGTTTCAGGGGTTCATTCATCCTTCTTGACTTCAGAAAGTCTAGAGGCTATGAGAATTTAAAATTCTGTTCTACATTTTCTCCCTTTTGATCAGACTTCTTCTATGGAATCATTGATCAGACTGTTCAATTATATACTCAGGTAGCATCCAGTTCTGGTTTCATGGCAAAGGAGGCTACAGTAGGGAGTCCTGGTGTGGCACTGTGGGTTAATGCGCCAGACTGAAAATCCATTTGAACTGCAAGGTCGGTGGTTCAAGCTCACCAGCTGCTCCTCGGAAACCCTATACAGGGTCACAATGAGTCGGAATCAACTTGATGGCACTTAACAACAACAACAACATGAAATAAAATTGACAACGGCAACTCAAAAGATTCGATAGGAACTGTAGGGGGCAGTACATACATGGAAATGAGGGAGAAACAGCTAAGAAAAGAAAGGAGAGCATGGCTGTACAACTCAAAGAATATAATCAATGTCGCTCAATTCTACATGTAGTTGAATTGGTGTATGTTTTGCAGTGTATATTCTCAACAACTAAAATAAATAAAATTTAGATAAAAACACATGGTTATTTTTGTAATCATAATAGGAGTTGTACATTTCTGATTTTATAACTTTCTAAACTAGGGCTTAATTTGATAGAAGCTCCTTAATTTGAGTGTTTCTGAAAAACTACCATACTTTTTGGTAAAACAATGAGGTAATTTCTAGTAAGTAAAGAACAATACAAGGATGTACAGTCCCATAGCTAATTCTAGCATTAGTCAAGAGATTCTAGATAATACAAAAATAATAATAATAAGAATAATGAGCCATAAATATCAGGAAGAAAACAAGCACATAATGTAACTACCAGTAAATCTGAGAGAATCGCCTGAAAAAGAAATATGAAGTTGCTTGAAAACAAAAGAAAAGCAAACAGAAAATGCCAGGAGTTTGGTAACATACACCCAAATAACAACATAACAGAAGAGCCCACCCAAGCCTGTTGTCATACATCAAGTCAATTCGGACTTATAGAGACCCTAGAGTACAGAGTAGAACTGCTCCTAGGGTTTCCAAGTCTGTAATCATTTTTTGTTTTGTTTTGTTTTGTTTTTGTTTTTTAAACTCTTCAGAATTCCAATTTATTAATGGAATAAATTGTATATACTTTTCTCATTCACACAATTTTCATAAAATTGAAAACTCAGAATTCCTGTTCATGAGCAGATGCTGTACATATTCTTTTTCCTCATTAAAACACTGTCTTAGAAATATTCTCAACCTAGTAATACAAAGAGTACTTTGAAACTATACAAAAGTCACAACCATTCCTGTTTATGGTTGGAAAAACTTTATCTTTTTCTCAATCACACGTCTATTGGGAACGTTTTCATTTTTGTAATAAAACAGTATACTGAAAACATTTGAAATCCTTTTCCCCTCCAATTATGGAATTTAATAGGGAAGTAACGGGTTACAATTCAAGATCAGCAATAACTCAAGATGCAATTCTATCAGGACAGCCTCAACCATGCTTGCAAGCAGGCCTCTTTCTGGTCCTTAGCTGCTTGTCTAGGGATCTGCCTTGCTCAGGCAAGTGCAAAGCTCTTTAGCTCCACCAATAACTGCCCAGAGGCACCCCACTCTGCAAAGCTATAATCTTTACAGGAGCAAACTGCTACATCTTTTTTTCAGGGAGTGGCTGGTGAGTTTGGTTAGCAGCAGAATAGTTAATCACTGTACCCTCAGGGCTCCGTAACTAAAGACAACATACAAAAACATAATTTTCTTTATATCTGAAAGAACAAGTGTGGTTGATAGGCTAAATAATGCCCCCCACCACAAGACATCCATGGCCTAGTCTCCAGAACCTGTAAATAAGCTATTTAAGATTTTTAATTAAGGGTTTTGAGATGGGGTGATTATCCTGGATTATCCAGATGAATCCAATGTAAACATAAAAGAAAGAAGAAAAAGCAAAAAAAAAAAAAAAAACCTAAGAGAGAAGACATAGGGTGAAGCAGAGATTAAGCTAAGGCACTCTGATGATGGAGGAAGGGATTGTGAGCTTCCAGATGCTGCAAAAGGCAAAGAAAGGGATTCTGATTTTGAACCTTCAGTAAGAATGCAGGTCCGTGGGCACCTTGATCTTAGCCTGGTCAAACTGATTTCAAACTTCAGTTTGAATATATCAATATATTATGATCAGAATATAGGATCATAAATTCATGTTATTTTAAGCCATTAGGTTTGCATTAATTTGTTATAGCAGCAATAAGAAACTAATACAAGTAACAAATAGAATAATGTTTAAATCCCCATTCACAAGACAAAAAACATAAATAACATTCAAATCACTTAAAATAAATCTAACTAGAAGTGCCCAAGACTAATATGAAGATTAGAGAAACATTTCTAAAGGACATAAATGAAGATAAACAAAAGGCATAAGTGAAGAGAGAAAGAAAGAATGTCATATTCCTAAATGGAAAAACTCAAAAGTGAAAAAGTCCATTCTTGCTCAGACTAATCTATAATAATATAATATATAAAATAATATACTATATAATATATAAAAAGTACATTCAATGTCAATTATAACAGATCTTTTTAGAACTTGATAAATTCACTCATTCATTCAATGTACATTTAGAAAAAATTTACCTTGTCCCAGGAATGCTATAGGGGCTAAGAATAAAGTGGCAAGAAAACAAAGTCTCTACCTTCAAGAAACTTATATTCTAGCAAGGCAAGAAGCCATTATACAGGTGAAGAAGAAAGTAAAAATATGATTCTGTGTAGTAGGAAAAACTACGAAGAAAAGCACTGTATGCAGATAGAAAATGAGAAGGTGATGATATTTTAAGGAAGCTGATCAGAAAAGATCTCTCTGTGGAGGTGATACTGGAAAGGAGACCTGAAGGATGGGAGTGAGTATACCAAAGTCGAGAGAAAGAGTAGTCAGACAGAGACAGCCCCAAGGCCAAAGTCCCAGAAGCAGGAACCAGCATGGCACACTCAACTAACCAAAGAAATTGCTGCTACACATCTTTGGGAAGAATACAGAAAATAGCAAAAAGTACAGTTTAAAAAATACATTGAAAGGTAG